ACAAAGTAAATGTATTCATTTCTATGATACAGGAGACAACACGACATGTTGAAAAAAAAAAGTTTATAAGTATGCAGTATCATAAACCGTTTGAAAATTGGTTGAAAATGGAGCAATCTATAGTTATTTCAATATTGCACCATAGACATAATGTTATGAATGAGCGAGCTGCCTGTGGCAAGATGGCCGCCATGTGGCAACGTCGGTCTCCATTGGCCAGCAGCGCGGGTGAGTCATCTAGTGTTTATATATATCTATGGTTGTCCCTGTCACTACCCGATTCGTCCCCCTGCCCGATCTGTACTGCGCATGTACGAGACGGTGCGCCATATTGGACAACTCCGGACGGCAACCCAAGTAGGACACTTGACACAGTGGCTTTTAGCAAAGCTCAAAAAATGAATTTAACTTCTGTTAGACAGCTATCATACTGAATAAATATTTACTGTGAATGAATGCAAAAATGTATGGCATATGGCTGTCTAACAGAAGTTACATTCATTTCTCACTTATTCTGACAATGTACTTAACCCCAAATAAAAGAACCCAATAAAAGAGTTGTTAAATAATAGTGAAGTCACGTTGTAATAACAATAACTCATCTCTCTCGAGTTTTATTTTTGAGCTTTGCTAAAAGCCACTGTGTCAAGTGTCCTATTTGGGATGCCGTCCGGAGTTGTCCAATATGGCGGACCATCTCGCACATGCGCAGTACAGATCGGGCAGGGGGACGGATCGGGTAGTGACACCCGTTAGCCGGAACTACCCCTAGTGGAGCCGGAACTACCCCTAGTGGAAACGCAACAAAAAACGGGCCGGGTTTGGCACGGCATGCTTAAACCGTGCCACGCGCTGCAGTGGAACTGCGCCATAACAGTACAGAAGAGCAGTTTTAATTGTAAGAGAATCCCCAAAATACGACAACGGTTTCTTTCTCATTGCTCATTTGAGTTCCTCAGAGAAGTAGACTTTTCTGGGTTATGCATTCAGTCATGTGGATATAAGAAGATATGTTCTATCTAGAGAAGTGTGACCTAGTTATTAAAGCAAACATGAGTTTAAAGAGAAGAGAGGAATCCCCGACAGAGGGCTGCTTTCACTCTGAAATGTTCCCTTCCTCTCTTTACTTCCTCTCCGGGACAGAAATTAGTTTTAAATGAAATGTTATCAATGAGCCACACAGTCTGATGCTAGGTCAAACAGCTGCTCTGTCTGCAGTCACAAGATCATGTTTCTGACCTATCAGATTAAATGTTATTCCTTAATTGAGTTTCTCTGTCGACAAGCTGTAAACACAACGTTGCAAAACAGGTAGTGTATAGTCAATAATACGAGATCTTTGGCTTTAAACGACAGCTACAAATTGATTAAAGTTGGAAATAAACTGAGGGGCATTCCGACATGGCCAGAACAAATAATCACGATGATAAGAAATACATTTTAGGACTGTTGAAGGATTTTCAAAGTTAGACAAAGCCTGAAACGATGTCATTAATCCTATTATGATAGTTTGTATTGGACATTTTACGTATTTTTTCTTTAGTATATTCTATGTTGCAATGTTGGAGGAGCCCGTGGTAATAAATTGCCAACAACTACGATGTAGCTTTGGTGCACATGACCACAACTCCTTTAAATATTGACTGGAAGGTACAGACGTTATACTTGTGGTAACTTGATGTCAGTCTGTCGGTCATATGAATATCCACTTGATGTGAGTCATATGATAACCTCATTGGCCTGTGGTTAACCAGGATCAAATAATAATGCCAACATTTTATTTAGAGCCGTAAAACCTCTAAGAGTGTAAAGTTTACTAAGTGGAATTTATAAATATTCCAGAGCTGTAGATATTTTGAAAAACTGTAATAATGATTTGGGCAGGGGCGTGTTTTTAAAAATGTAAAATAAAGAGAATTCAAAAAGTAGAATAAATGTTAATAAACAAAGAAAAACATTTGATTAGATTAGGGGTTCCCAGCCTTTTCGAACTCAGGGCCCACTTAAGAATCTTAAAAAAATGTGCGGCCCACATTCAACCATAAACAATACGGAGGCTGAATAAAGTTCTGATTGGTCAATTCAGAACATGTGACAAGTTGTTAATCCAGTAGAACAGACCGCTGTCAAGGACTGTGATGACCGTTGCTAAGGACTGTAATGACCGTTGCTAAGGAGGATCAAGAAAGAGAAAGGAAAGGAGGTTCAAATAAAAAGAAATCTTAATAATGAAAATGTTTCCACACAAATCATAATGTTTTGCAAATTATTTGGCGCCCCACTTACAATGCGTTTGGATTAGATCAAATAAATTGGGCATGGACCGTTTTTTTAAATAAATAAAGAGTATATAAATCGAATACATTTGCGAAAACTAAGATTTAAAAAAAAAAAAGGTTGCTAAAAGGAATTGAACATTGGTTGTTTTTCATAAATCCCGGCGGTGCCTCACCTGGGTCTTGCCCTGCTGCCCGTACACGATCTTGGTCGGGATGATCTTGGTGGTGCTACCCTGCGACCCGGCGCCGAGGCCTTTGGGCTGCGTGACGATCATCTTGGTGATGGGTCTGGAGGCCGTGATGATTGCTGGTTTTGATCCCTGAACCGCCTGAAGACCCTTCTCGCCCTAAGGCACACAGATTATTACAACTGATCCAGATACACACAGCAGCACGGGAGGAAACACAGAAATATATAAAAGAATAATATCTACATCAATAAAGTATGTGGTACAAAGTCACTATATCATTTTAAGACATAATAATCCTGATTTAAAGCTAAAATATCTACATTCTGTCAGTACCTTGCTAGCTGTTTGCCCCCATTTACAGTGTTTGTGCTAAGCTAAGCTAACGGAATCTGGACGTAGCTTCATATTTAACATACACACTTTTGCTTCTGTGACGAAAGAATTTCCCAAATTAGGATCGATAAAGTATTTATCTATCTATGTATGTATGTATGTATGTATGTATCTATGTATGTATGTATGTATGTATGTATGTATGTATGTATGTATCTATCCATCTATGTATCTATCTATGTATGTGTGTATGTATGTATGTATGTATCTATGTATGTATGTATGTATGTATGTATGTATGTATCTATCCATCTATGTATCTATCTATGTATGTGTGTATGTATCTATCCATCTATGTATCTATCTATCTATGTATGTATCTATCTATCTATGTATGTATGTATGTATGTATGTATGTATGTATGTATCTATGTATGTATGTATGTATGTATGTATCTATCCATCTATGTATCTATCTATGTATGTGTGTATGTATCTATCCATCTATGTATCTATATATCTATCTATGTATGTATGTATCTATCCATCTATGTATCTATCTATGTATCTATCCATCTATGTATCTATATATCCATCTATCCATCTATCCATCTATGTATCTATATATCTATCTATGTATCTATGTATGTATGTATGTACCTATCTATCTATCTATCTATCTATCTATCTAAAATCTTAGTCCCCACCACAATATTTCCAAAAATGTCCAACCCTTCCTCAAAAGAACACAATAACAAAATATAACTATTTAACACACTAGAAAATCTTGAATTGTAGAAATGTAAAGTAATAAAATGATTTAAAAGGACCTTAATGTAGGATGTGAAGTTTTCTAACTTTGGCGACACCTAGTGGTTGTATCAAGAAAGACAGCGTCACAACAGTGAAATACAAGGGGCAGAAATCAACACACAAAATGCACCAAATTGTATTAAAAAACGTGTTAAAACAAACATTTATAGCATCAGAATAATTAGAAAGATTATTAATTATTAACAAGCATTTTCACTATTAATTAAATGACTATTTTTCCAAATAATGGACCTATTGTTAAGTTCACAGAGAGCCCATGGCGGTAGTTTGTCCGACTAAACAGACAAATCACGACAAAGTAAGATATGCACATTTGAGAAGCTAAAATAACAGAATAATTGCCCTTTTTTGCAATATTATACATAAACAGTCAATACTTAAGGCTGTCTTTGGGGACATTACTGATTTTCAATACATTAAAATCAGACAGTAGTGTATAACTGACCCCAGCATTGAGCAGTGTGGTGACCACGTTCTTCCCCGGCAGTCCCTGGATCGTCGCTCCTTTTCCCGTCGTTTTCTGAACCACGATGACGTTCGGCTTGGAGGACATCGGGATGGTGGTGATCTTAGTCGTCGTGCCTGTTGTAGAGCGAAGGAGAATTAAGGAATGATTGTTTTAAAACAGGGAGAAGGCACAAAGCAACAATACTTTCCTTTTTGACTAAAAACGTTTTTACCCGTGTGAAATGTTATATTTGAGGTTGTTATTTAATAAACTAAGGATTTTTTTTAATTATTGTTTCTGTATTTGTTGGCTTTAAGTCTTTAAGAAAGAAAATAAAATTATTTTGACTGCATTTAAAAGACTTTGCTAAATGGGAGGCATGCACTGATGGGTTTTGTTTATTAAAAAAGCAGATTTAAATCAAAACAATAATATTAATTTAATCTTTTTATTTCTCTTAATTGATTTTAAACACCTTCAGTGAACAAATTAAACAAATCAGATGGTTAATATCATGACATGTGATTTTTGGACGATATGATTTTTTTTTTTTTACTTAAAACTGTAATTTGAAAACCTCTCAAAGAAGCTGAATGTAAAAAATAAAGACATTTGCTATCAATCTCTCCTGGTTGCCTCACCGGAGACCATGTTACTGCTGATGATCTTCCCGCCCAGCGTTGCCAGGGATTTGGGAACCACGGTGATGATGCTGCCGCTGGTCGTCTTCACGTAGGTCGTCCCGCCGCTGGAGGCCGAGATCCGGGCTCCGATGCTGGGGTTCACCGTGGGCCGCGTGTAGGTGGCCTGGGTCGCTGCGCACACACACACACACACACACACACACACACACACACACACACACACACACACACACACACACACACACACACACACACACACACACACACACACACACACACACACACACACACACACACACACTACACACACAACACACACACACACACACACACACACACACACACACACACACACACACACACACACACACACACACACACACACACACACACACACACACACACACACACACACACACACACACACACACACACACACACACACACACACACACACACACACACACACACACACACACACACACACACACACACACACACACACACACACACACACACACACACAGTGTTTAATAACCAGTGCTGTTTATACAACCTCAGTACTTTGTTGTATCTGTTTTATGTTGTATATATATTCATGTTGCACTGTTGGAGGAGCCTGTGACTTAAGATTTTCATGGCCATATCTACACAGTCAGAGGTGGGAAGTAGTGGAGTACAAATAATTTGTTACTGTACTTAAGTACATTGTTCTGGTATCAGTACTTTACTCCACTACTTATTTTTCTGACGACTTTTTACTTTTACATTTTGAACACAAATACCTGGTCTTCTCTAAAGAAGAGGGACCAATGGAAACGTTGTCATGTTGCCGTTGTTCAGCATGGAAACATTCATTAGCTAACAATGACATTATTGTTCTATTAATATAAAGGGAGGTCAGGTACTCTTTAAAGCAGCTGCTAGTTATGGGTACTTTTTACTGAAGTACATTTTAAATCTTTTACTTTTACTTGAGTAAAGAAGTTTAGTCAGTACTTCTACTTTTACCAGAGTATTTTTAAACACGAGTATCTGTACTTCCACTCGAGTAAAGGATGTGTACTTTTGCCATCTCTGTACACTGTAGCTAATGTGCACACGACACGAATAAAGCCTTGAATCTTGAATCTACAGGTGGGCTTCCCTCACCTGTGGACTGAGTGACCAGTTTGGTGGTCATGATGGCGCCGTTGCTACTGACGACCATGATGGGGGAGGAGCTGCTGCTGGACAGAGCCACGGAGGACGGCTTGGGGAGGATCTTACTGGGCTGCACCTGCTGGGTGATGATCTTCACACCTGTAAATGATTGACACAGTGATTCAGTCAATAGAAAAACATAACACACGTATAAGCTGCAACAAAATCACACACAAAGGACACTTCCATCATCTCCACCTGCAGCTGGACAGACAGCTTACCCACTTACAAAGACATTAACCGTCTGTCATTTTAACGGTTCAAATAATCCTACCATTACAATTATAGACTGTTCATTTATGTGTAAGTGGGTAAACTTACAAAATCTGCAAGGGATCAAATACTTATTTCCTCCACTGTATATTCAACCTAATATTTAATAATCCATTCCTTGCACAATTAATGTATATAATATCCTGCTTTAAATGTTGTTACTGTAAATGTGTATTTCCGCATGGATATTTTTTACTTTTTTTTAAAAATGCTATTTTATTTCTATTTGAGATGTTTCCATTTTGGATTGTTTGATTCTAGTCTTTTAAATGTGTTCTTATGTACAATGCCTTGTCTTTGTATGCTGCTGAAATGCAAAAATGTCCCAAATTGGGATCATAAAGTACTTCTTATCGTATAACACGAATATAACACACTTATATGCTGCAACAAAATCACACAATAAATAATATCCACAGTCAGTGAGAGCAGCACTTCCTCACACAATGCCCAACATTTGAACCTGTACGGAAACAATTCCTCCCAAAACTCAATCATAAGCATCCTCAAATATTTAAAAAACTAAATGAAAAACTAAAAATATTAGTTGCATTCTTGCAGTATGAGGGCATCGGACTAGTGATGTGTGAACGAGCCGATTCTTTTGAACGGCTCTTTGGTTCGAACGAGGGGAACCGAGTCGTACTTGGTGAGAGCCGTTCTTGTTATCGTCCAATCGTCGGTCCGCACTCACTGCCTGCCAAAATCCACTCGCCTTTTAAAGAGCTTGATTTTGTTCCCCAAACGTATTCTGTGAAGACCCCCCCTAATCTGATTGGTAGGTTTCAGCACGAGGAGTGAGATGGGGTGGGTCTTAACGGAATACGCGAGAGGGAGAAGTCATAACAAGTGGTACAGGACAGGTAGACGACGTGTTTTCGCGAAACCGCAGCAGCATTTGGATGCACTTCAACCAAAACCCAGGCAGTGATAAAGCGCACCATTTGTAAAGGCAACATATCCTTTAAAGCAGGGTCAACAAATAATCTCCATCGCCACTTAAAAACACAGTATCTAATATTAAGAGTTGCGTGAATTTCATTCAAGGCAAGGCAACTTTATTTACTTTTCAATTCAAAGTACATTCACTGACATGAAGGACATGGATATGGCGCCACCTTGTGTCATGTTTACAATGCAGATTATTGACATTAGGTCTGGCAATACAGTCAATCATTATCCTGGTGATTATTTCGCAGATAAACCCATTAATTCTTTTGAACGGCTCTTTGAAGCCATAAGATCCGGCTCCCTTCAAAGAGCCATAATTCCCATCACTACATCGGACTGACCTGCTACACTAGGTCTCACATCTCACATCTTATATATTAGGGATGCCAGAAACTGACCATGATCAAATTCGAAAATCGGACAGCCCTGGCGAATATTAATCGATTATTCGCCGAGAAGAAAAAGAAAAACATAAATAATAATAAAAAAATATATAAATAAAATCGAATTTTAAAAAATAATTTTCGATTATGGAGACCGCAACGAATATTCGAAAAATAGAATAATCGCTGGCATCCTTAATATATATCATATTTTATTTTGAATGAATTAAATGGATCTGTGTTCCTTGTAAAGAAAAAAATCTTATGTATATATTTGTGTATAGATGTTGCAATTATACAGAGCTTTAGCAATACTATATGTAACTATGGTCAAGCTAATAAAGCTATTGAATTGAGAGGGTGGTGTGCAGACTGACCGGACTCCTGCTTGATCTGGATGGTGGGCTTGCAGCCCGGCGAGGAGCTGGAGGTCTGCGTGACGCTGCAGACCCCCAGAGAGGAGCCCTGCTGCAGCGGTTTGGGCGAATGCTGCTTGGGGAACTGAGCCAGGATCTGAGCCGGGGAGCCCACCATCGTCTTGGGGGAGGGGAGTCGAGTGGAGGTCACCTTCACTCCGCCTGAAGAGGCACCTGCAGCAGAAAACACAGAACTTGTAGTCTAATGCTGCATGCTGTGAGGAAACGTCACACAAAAAGAGCAAAGTATGTAAAAGTTAACAGGAAAGCATATTTTGTTCAAAATAAAAGGCATTTTGATTTAGTTTATAATCGTTTCTGTGTTAAGATATAACATTTTCTTGTGATTGAGGATAAACCAAGTATAATACGTAGATAAAAATGCCATAAATGTGATGGTTGCAGCCTCCCAAAATTGAGAATGTGTCATCTTACATTATGGTAAACAGAATATATAATAATAAAAAGGGCTTTATTTAGGGCTCTGTGAAAAAGCTAATGTTGCTTAAATTAGCACAAAGACTGTAAATGGAGGGAAACGGTAGTAATAATAATAATAATACATGACACTTATATAGCGCTTTTCTAAAAACTCAAGGACGCTTTTACAGAGATTAAGTTAGCATTGCACTGTCCAAATGTAGACGTAAGGTTCACATTTGTTGTGTAGTTGCAGATGAAGGACCTACATGTTGTTGACATCACCACGGAGGGCGTGCAGGTGCTCACGGTGGTCACGGCCACGTTGCTGGAGGAGACGTGTGCGCTGGCTGGAAACACCACCGTCTGTTTCTGCGAGGGCGCCGTCAGCATGGTGGTGGACACCAGCTTGGAGAGAGCGGCGTTGTGAGCGTGAGACTTGGACAGGATGTTGGGCACGAAGTTGGAGCTGGGAGAAGTCGTCACGATGATCACCTGAGGGAAGAAGAAGAGACATTTTATACTCAGGTATTGTGTAGAGAGATGAGGGAACTATTTATACCTCAAATCTTAATCATTAGTGTTTTTCCCAGATTCAAGATTCAAGGCTTTATTGCTCCAGTGTAGATATGGCAATGACAAACTGAAGTCACAGGCTCCTCCAACAGTGCAACATGAATATATATAGGACATAGGGATGGGTACCGAGCCCCGGTATTAAACGGGCCCCGGGGCTGAATTATTAAAGACCGTGGTACCGTTAAGCTCCGACGTTATCGGTCTTTTTATCGGTACTGGAGACGTGTAAAAAATATGTCATATGTATTATTGCTACATAAACATTATATTGCAGTTTTAGTTTCGCCAACTCCGTTTCTAACACGCAAAAAGACTGCAAAATGCTTCTATGATTATTTTTAGTATTTTCGATCTTTCCAATCCAGACGAGAGATCTCTCTCCCCCGTCTGCACACACACACACACACACACACACACACACACACACACACACACACACACACACACACACACACACACACACACACACACACACACACACACACACACACACACACACACACACACACACACACACACACACACACGCACACACACACACACACACACACACACACACACACACACACACACACACACACACACACACACACACACACACACACACACACACACACACACACACACACACACACACACACACACACACACACACACACACACACACACACACACGGAGGAGATGGCGGAGAGAGTGCTCCGAGGTGTGGTTAAACTTTCTCAAAGAAGACGAAGTAAGCTAGGCAGCCAATATTCATCTTGCCAAATAGTGAGCCCACATTTATCTGTACTGCTAAGTCTTATATTGGCTACCTAGCTTACTTTGTCTTCTTCAGCCAGCATCCTTGGTATCTGTTGCTCACTGATTGACCCCCCCCCCCCATCCATCTTGATGTTTCTTGGCATCTCTTATGAGCATTTATTTACGAGTTAATAACATGTATAGCTTCCAAAAGGGAGCCTTATTGATGAGTTACTACCATTTCTAATAAGGCTTAGCAGTACAGATAAATGTGGGCTCACTATTTGGCAAGATGACTAAGCCTTATGTTGGCTACCTAGCGAGAATCAACTCAGTGAACAACAGATACCAAGGATGCTGGCTGATGAAGAAGACGAAGTAAGCTAGGCAGCTAGCCAATATAACGGAGCTTACACACGGCGGTGTGCGTTGAAGCTTCAACGTTTCTGCCCATTCACTTTGAATGGGGGGACGTCACGCTTTGCCGAACTGCATTGTGGGAGCACAGCGGGCGGAGCTACAGGATTTCTGCTTCACACACGTTGCATACCGCTATTTTATTGTCTTTTTTGGACACCTTAAAATACTACCAGACCGGTGAAGCCATTTTGGCGAGCTTGTTTTGCCGCGCACAGAGAAAAGTGTCAAGTATTTTACGTCATCATTTTACGTCATGCTCTCGCGATGTGCATTTTTAGAGAGCACCAATCGATCGGCAGAGAGTGAGTATCGACCGATCGATCTGAGCATCCCTAGCAAAAATAAAAAGTTCCATCTTATCTTATCTCTAATCTCACCTCAGTTATACCGTAGCTCCTAAAATACGTGAAGCCAAAGAAAATACAGGTTTTATCCTCACATGACATCAGAGCAGCCTTTTTTGAAACATAAGTAAACACAAAGGTTCCCTCACCTTCTGCGTGGTGGTGTTGGTGGTCTGGATGGTGGGCTTGGTGAAGGTGATCTTGACGGGGGACAGGTGGGGGGGCAGCGAGTTGGCGATGCTCTGCATGATGTTGCTCATCTTGGGGCTGCCACTCACCGGCACCGTGATGCTCTTGGACACCGGGGGGGACATTTTGGACACTTCCTTCAGCATCACCGGAGACGAGCTGGACGAGTTGGTCCGCCGGCGCTTTCGAGGCTTCTCTTCTTCGTCCGAACAACTCACACCTGGGAGGGAAACAGGAGGAGGTTAAATCTAGGAAGTACGTCTTTCTTTCGTGCGATTATTGATTCCTCTGCTGATTATTTTCTTAATTAATTGTCTTAGGGAAATCGTGTCAAAGCCTTGTTTTGAATTTTAATACACTGCTGTTTAACCCTTGTGTTGTGTTCGAAAGCTGTTACCGTTCATGGTGTATCTCAGTCCAAAACGCACACAAAAAATGACTATCATCCAATATTGTTTGAACTACATCCTAACTAACTTATAATGCATTCATAACCGAACAATCCTGTTGTAATTTAATGCTATGGCCCAAAACACATCACACCACATATTGCACACGTGCATGTGTGTGTTCAGGTTCAAGTGTTAGTGCACATATTCTTTGAGAAAGGCAGAGTTCCCGTGGGGGGAGGGGGGCAGCGGGAGGGGAGACCAGGTGCATGATGCGAAAAATTATTGTTACAGTGGATGAAGGGGGAGGGGTGTCTAAAGTCAAAGATGAATCTTGATTGGGCCAAATTTGACCTCGAGTCACCCACAACAATTCTGCTGGGTCTCCCCAGACCCCAACACCAAATTATACACTTTTTTTTTTAGAGACCTTCAGACTTGGTTAAAATGGTCAAAATCAGTTTTGTAGAGTTTATATATCTCTTGTGGAGGATATCATGAAGCCTCGTTCCGATACAAAACACTACAGCGTAGTTATTATATCATTTTAAAACTTGAAACGGGTCAGGGGAGACCCGAACACAACATAAGGGTTAACATGCATGTGTATATATGACACCATTGATCAGGAGGGATGTTTAGAAGAGGACTTTTAAACTCACTCTCCAGTAACAAAGAGAAAACAATTAATGTCAAGATAAATTATAAAAGAAAAACATCCTTAGAGTAAAGAAAAGCAAGAAATGGCACATGCATGGGTTAATGGCACATTGGCACAGATTGAAACATTGTCAAATTGTATTATTTCTTTTATTTTGAAGATTAAATCTCAGCCAGTATTTTGTTCTTCGGCAAACACTCAAATAAAGATGTGTTTCCACCGAGGAATTAGGTCTGTTGTGTTTGTTCCTCACAATAACATGAAAAACAGTCAATAAGCTTGTAGCGCCCCCTTTAGGCTGAATGGAAAACCTAAAAAATAAAATGCAGTCTAAAAATGTTTTGGGGGGAAAAGGAGACAAAACATTTCAGACTGGGCTTTTAAAGAAACAAGGTGATATTATGGGGATTTTCAATTCAATTTGAATTGATGACTGAAAAAGACTCAAATGTCAGTTTTCAATTAAAAAGTAAAAATGTAGAAAGAAAAAACAGGATGAGGTCGAATAAATAAAAATGTTGTCATAAGACTTAAGCTCGATAAATAACCAAATAGCAGACAAATCTCACTCTTGACGTAGACCGTGCTCCCACTGGGCAGCACCACCACGTTGGAGGAGGGGCTCGGGGGTCTGGGAGATTTCACCGCCGCTCCGATGGCTCCGCTGCTCGCTGTGGCGCTGGTGGAGGTGCCCGTGGTGCTCGTGTAGGAGTAACATACGACCACTGCAGGAATGAAATACAACGGTTAATGTGGTGCGAGCTGATCTGATTTAAAACATGTTTCTTTGATTACAGAAGGGATGCTGGCCCACCTTCTTTGTTTCCTGTTTCCGCTGGCATCAGAAAGGAGGCGTTCTGATTGGCTGAGGCGCTGGCTACTGCGTTAGCGGTCACGGTAAAGGCTGTCTGTGGGACGAGCCGCGGCATCAGGGGAACGAGGCGACGTCCTTCGATCGACCACTCAGACGAGCTGTTAGGACCCGACATGCTGGAAAGAGATCGTGCAACATTAATAAAGTAGATATTGGCTTTTTAGAAATACAATTTACAGTTTGAAGCTGTGAGAGAAGCGGAATGTTTTCACATTTGTCAAAATAAACTCATTTAAAAGCACAAAAATGTGACAAACAGATACATATTTAAAAGCACTGTATATGTTTATAATTCATTTTCAAATTAAAGTTATACACTTACTGATATGCGATGGTGGTGAGGCGCTCATCGTTGACAGCTCTGCGGACTTCTGCACGATGGCGCTCTGTGGAGATACTGGGAAACCGGTGCAGCACATTTTAAATAAAGCAACGTTTTTTCTCACATTTATCAAGTTTTATTATATTTTTGAAACAATTACCCGAGGATTTTAGTGAGTTCTCCCAGCAGATCCTTCTTGTCCTTGGTCAGGTCTCCCTGGGCTCGCAGGGCGCTGATCACCCCGGCATACGCCTCCAGCTCTGGGGACACAAATAAACATTTTTAATAAAGGATCAGATTAACTCAAATATGTATTTCTTGGCCTGATAAAACATTTTCTCAGGCATCTTCGAAACAACAATAATATTTTAGCTTGTATCAAAACAAAGCTTCAAAGGGATTCACATAAAAAGCAAAGAATATAGGACCTAAAATAGAAACACATAAAACACAGCTAAACGAAGAAAACAAATACTAAAGCAAACACAAAAAACAGCAGAATAAATGGAATAAAAACTAGAATCAGATTAAATCTGGGAAGGCAGTACTAAACAAGTATGTTATAAGCTTTGATTTTTCACGAGATATGTTAAGATTTGTATATATATATATATATGTGAGTGTGTGTGTGTGTGTGTGTGTGTGTGTGTGTGTGTGTGTGTGTGTGAGAAAAACTGCCTCTTCACAGTGAGAGCGCTCTAGTTTTTCTTCTGTATGGCATGACCTTACCGAGTTTACGGAGAATTCTCTTGCACTCGTCCCTGCCCAGGTCCAGGATGGTGGGCCAGACCACCGGCATGGTCCCAGTCAGCACCGGCTTCTCCAGCTGAATCATGGGCTAAGAGGAGAGTAAATACAAAATAAAACGTGATTAGATAACCTTTATAATAACCATAGCATATAACCAAGGATAAGAGACAGACAGCCAGCGTTTCCGCCTGGGGGGCGTCTTGCCGTAATTTGACGCCCTTATTCAGCTCGGAACGGCCTGAACTCGAGCCGAGGGCGCCCAAAAAGAATTATAATGTGAGAGAAGATCGAGAGTTTTTATCGCTTGAAATGACGGAAAGGAAAAAGGACAAGGACATCCCTCAGTTGGAGGGGCAAAGGAGTCTGGTGGGATTCTTTTCGCCGCCAGCAAAGCGTGTGCCTGCAACGGGAAAAAACAAAACACCGCCGCATCTTCCAAGGACCGTGCCAGGAGGGGTGTCCCTGTCGGCAGGGAGACGTAAAGAGATAGTATAAGGGACGGCGCAATTCAAAATTGTGTGTGTGTGTGCATACGTAAAGAGATAGTATCTATAAGGGATGGCTCAATTAAAAATTAAACGTCACCAACCGCCCCCTCCCGCTCTCGGGATGGACGCGCTCTCAGCCCTGGTCTGGCGGAAGCACTGCAGACAGCTATTGAACATGGCAGAAAGTCATCATTATGTAAAGTATGATTTTAGAGTATTGGACATTTATGAAATGAGTTAAGAAAAACACTGCTCCTGTGCAGATTTGGCTAAATAAATATGACCTTAATAATCACTTTTGGGCGTTTAACTTTAAAACAAAAGTCTGACTGATAAGTTAATTATCTTTCGTTTCCAATTACTGAATCTTGTGTGAAATTAGCTCAGTGTGAGCAACATTTTGAGACGGTTCCTTTGTGCATTTTAATTAAATGTTTAATTGAATGAAATATTCCCAATAAAGAAGCTTTTCTCTCAGAGGAAGGGCTGTGAGTAATTACTCTGCCTCTTATTGTTAAAATGTTTTGTATGTGTTTGACAATCATGGCCACACTTTATGGTGTTAACAAATTCATAAATAAAGTTTTGTTTTAAAACTTAAATAATGTACTGTATTATCTCCCAATATGCACATTTACATGCGTGTTATTACAAATACCTCTTTTGAGAATGTGTATAGTCAATACAAATGTTATCAAATGCATATTGCATTGAAAGATACGGTTTCAGTTCATCCGTTGCAGACTTGAATTGTTCTGTGTAACAACAAGACTATTCCTTAAGTGGTGAAATATCTTCAAGTATCTTATAAATAAAGAATAGCCACATAAAAAGGGACAATATAACTCACAAGTCTCCATTTATTGCATTAAAGTCTTCAATTCAATTCAATTCAAAACCTTTATTTATCCAGGTAAAATCCCATTGAGATCAATGATCTCTTTTTCAAGGGAGACCTGCAGTCTTGGCTGTCTAACTGTTTACACTGAGCAGCACCGCCCACCTCAGGGCATCCAGCAACACAGGCCAAACACACACAAACTGAGATTATATTTAAGTTAAATGCAGCTGAGAAAGGAATTTATTAACAAAATGGAGAGGGGTCGATAATTAAGAAACCTGCTCTTTTATTTTCACCAGTTTCCTCCATGTAGCAGACAAAGAAGCAGTTAGCTGCTCATATTATGGGTCAAATGCTGTCAACACAACAGAAAACGGGACACATACTGGCTTCTCCACTACCATCAAATTGTCTCATGCACAAATATTCAATGATGCCCAATACGTTTGTCAAATTTTCACAGAAAACGGTGGAAGATATTGGCATTTAATTTCAGTTTTTGACGCGCTTTGAAAACCGTTGCAATGGATCAGCATGTTAGCTTACCTTCCGTTAGCAGAACGACTTCAAGGCCTTTATAATCCCGAAATCCAAACAAACATGACTGACAATGATACTTTTAGCTAAATTACAACATCGAGCAGTTATTCTGCAATATATTGAGACAATAAAACAAGAGCTAAACGGATTAAATGTCCTGATTTAGCCAAATATGTTGCTTTGTTTACGTTGTTTTCTGCCGTTGGCCTGTGGGTGGATGAATTTCTTCTTCGATGGTTTTTACTGGCGGACTAAAATCCAACGGTAAGGGGTATAGCGCCACCTACTGTACCGGAGTGTTTAAACATCATGACTTTATAAATACGCTTATTAAGAATATTAAACATGTTTCGTTTAAATATTAACATTAAGATGCAGAGAGATCTCAATTAATGTATTAAAGTGTTTTTCGAAATAATTCGGATACATTTGTTTACACTACATAGGCCTACAGTATACACAGATATAAATCACACATGCTTCACATTGTTTACACCTGTGAGGGTGTCACTACTAGTCAGTATGTTGTACTTTATATGTAAAAACATGACAATCCCAAGTTATAATAAAATACCAAGTGTAATATACTCAATTTGCATTATGTCCCACTGGTTTATATAGGCTAAAAATACATGTTTGCATTATAATTGTCTATACATTAATCACTTCAGATGGTGGGGTTAATAACAGTTATACTGCTGGAAGGTCTAACAGGTGAAAATATCATGATTTAGTAGTAGGTCTAATAGACTCTGCAAAGTAGCTGTCATAACAAATGTAATGGACTAAAAAGTACAATATCTCCCATTGCAATATCGCGAAGAACAAGTAGCATAACAATAAAATACTCAAACAAAGTACAAGCACCTTGAAATTGTGCTTAACAAATGTACGTACAATGTTTATCTGTGATTTAAAGTAAAGTAAAACCACAAAATCGCTTTTTAAATCTGATAGTTTCGCAAAGTACGAGGAGCTCCTGAACGCATCGGGATGGAAGGTGGGTTTTTCTCCTCTTTTTTGACTCTCTTTTTGGGGAGGGGGCACAAAGCATTTCCTTTTTCCATTTGCATCACACTTTGTAGCAACACAAACAAGTCAGACTCTCGTACGAATTAAGTGAGGATTAACAAACCTGGAGGAGGAGGATGCTTCAAAAACTCTGTGGACTCTGGAACTTCATTTTGGATTTAGCAGCCAAAGTTTGACGCAATCTTTCCCGGGATAATAATCAGGAATAGTCTGCAGTGTCATCACCATGGAAGTATTTCACAAGGAGCAATAGAGATGTGCACAACTTGGAGATAAAGTTTGGAAAACATTGAAAAAAGTGTCTCTTCCAGATGTCTTTATCGATGCAGCTGTCTAATGAAACCCATTCACACCCCTAAGGAAAAAGTTAATACTTTCTTTATTTCTAGCAACTTTGTGGACTTCTGGGAATAATATATGACCTCTTTCGCTTTGCATTGGGATTTTCCTTCAATTAAATCAGGATAACGGGATTTTGTTGTTTCCATATGCTGGAAATTAAACCACGTCGAAGTTTCTGGAAATGGACGGACACCGAGGAGACAAAATAAACATGTTTTAATAAATAACAGCCAGAAAATGCTATTTGGGTGAAGTCGTCGGAAAGGGAAGCCCCAATGAGTGGCACACAGTCAACACTCACTGACAGGTAGGTTAAATGCTATTTTCCTACCATGAACTCGTTATTTTCCAGGATGCATTTTGAACACATCATACTTTCTCACGATTTCTGAATCTGAAAGAGTGTTTTGAATCGGTTTACGCATGGGAACACACCCAATTGCATCACGCCAAACCCCATTGAAACAAAATCAGAATGTAAGGTTATCTTACCTTGTGGAAACATGCATCCCGCCAGAATGGAATAAACAAGATGTTACCATTTTGTTGCCTATTTTGGTAAATTCGGCATTCAAAAGATCAAACAAAAAAGCTATATTTTTCTACGAAGTGTAAATTAGTTTTTCTTTTATCGTCACATTTTAGTGCTAGAGGGCAGCTTCTGGGATTCGTAAGGATAAGGGAATATAATGAAAACGTTCAGTTTGACCTAATATAATTGTTTTTAATCGATTGTTAGCACGCCGAACTGAATATAAGGGGTTTATATCACAGATTAACTCTTCATTTATCTTCTAACTTCCATTAATAAGGTGTTAAACCTGGAGCAATTTAAAATATGCACATTTCTCAATGGAGTTTGTAACAGGGTTCCCATTCAAAACTAAAAGAGGGCTCAGTGAGTTGTCTCCTTTTCCTGTTGTCGACAAGCACCTTGTTCCCAGCCATCATGGTTCATCTTACTAGAAGATTAGATAGATGGATAGATGGATAGATAGATAGATAGATAGATAGATAGATGGATAGATAGATGGATAGATAGATAGATAGATAGATAGATGGATAGATGGACATATTTATTTGTGGCCTTAACATGATAGAGGTTTTCTACACATGTTTATGTTCAAATAATATATTACATGCATGACAAGTGCACAAAATGAGTCTGAGAAAGCTTCCTCGGTGTGTGGCTTGATTGAAGGTGAACTGATTGAATTATCTGTGTGTAAACGTGTTCCTTTAGTATTTATGTATACTGTGAAACAGTCCCACAGAGGGGGTTCAGCTGAACATTATAAGATACCTGTATGTTTCACTGTCACATTATGTTATATGTGATGGTCAGCACACTGACAGCATGTTTTTGCAACAGGATGCAGAACTGTGGACAGAGTTAAATGTCACATTAACCTGTGCATGTCAGTATCGATTGATTATATGATCAAATGACTTGTCTTTTCATTGATCACAGAAAAAAATCACAGTTTTGTATAGAATTTGGGAATTTTTTTGCTTGTTTTATGGCAGAGAAATACGTCACTGATAAAGTTCTGCAGCTCTTTAGTTGGTTGAAACTCTTCTTTAGGAATCATATGAGGTGAATAGTTTTCTTAACGTTAATGGTTGACTTTGAGCTATTCGGATTCCACCCCCCACTTGTATATTTTTACACTGAGTAATCAGGAGTTTCCTCTGAGGAAATGCCAAAACAAAGGCACACATGACTGCCTCGGAAAAGTCAAACAAAGTCAGTTGATTTCTTGACCTTCAGCCTGAAGAGAAACTGAGCTGCTCCTCTGCTTTTTAACCAGACTGACTGGGCCTCTTTTTCGTATCGTTTTTTGTAATGTTTCCATCACAAATCCCACAGAAAGACCATATTCAGTTAAACAGACGGTGGAAGTGGAAAGCATGACACACGCCACAGAAGGGACTTAAAAGGAAAATGAACCCTGAAATGGATTTCACAGATAAACACACGGCTCTTAGCAGCTCAGGATATATTTTTAGATGTATTATGACATGACTTATGACTGTTATATGTATCCTGTTTTATGAGGGAGGGCGGAGCATGTAATGCGTTATCATATGATGCACAATTCTACTTTATACTTCTACTCCACTACAATTTTGAGGAAGAAACTTGATTTGCTCTTACAGGGGCTGCTTTTTCGCTTTCCTGTAGTGTATTTATACGTTTTAGTGCATGTAAATGGTCTGCAAAGGCTACAATCCCAAAGTTCCACCTCCATTGGACTCCTTTGTTTACTTCCAGAACATAGTGGCATCACTACGTAATAAGATAAGATAAGATAACATGGTACTTTATTGATCCCAATTTGGGAAATAGTTTTTGTTGCAGCAGCATAAAAGACAAGGCATTTTACAATAAAACAAAACTAGAAATAAACAAGAATAGAAATAAAATAGAAAATATACATGTAGAATTTGACAAGACATTATATATACAATAAAATATATATATATATATATATATATATACACATAAATATATGACATGGAATATTAATATTAGCTTCTATAACTAGCGCTCCAACACATGTAGGTGATAGGCTGAGGGGCGGGACATCTCTAAGCAGTTGACCAATCACATCAGAGCCGGCCAGCTAACCAATCAGAGCAGACTCTGGTTTCAGACAGAGGGTGAAAAGAGGTGCTGCAGCACAGGCTGAGAAAAAGAAAGAGCTTTTTTAACATTAAGCATGGAGACATTCCCAGTAGAGACACTAGATACTGATATACACCTGAACATCAGCAGGAGAGGACTCTTTAAGTAGAGACACTAGATACTGATATACACCTGAACATCAGCAGGAGAGGACTCTTTAAAGTAGAGACACTACATACTGATATACACCTGAACATCAGCAGGAGAGGACTCTTTAAAGGAGAGACACTACATACTGATATACACCTGAACATCAGCAGGAGAGGACTCTTTAAAGTAGAGACACTACATACTGATATACAACCTGAACATCAGCAGGAGAGGACTCTTTAAAGTAGAGACACTACATACTGATATACAACCTGAACATCAGCAGGAGAGGACTCTTTAAAGTAGAGACACTACATACTGATATACACCTGAACATCAGCAGGAGATAACTCTTTAAAGTAGAGACACTACATACTGATATACACCTGAACATCAGCAGGAGAGGACTATTTAAAGTAGAGATACTACATACTGATATACACCTGAACATCAGCAGGAGAGGACTCTTTAAAGTAGAGACACTACATACTGATATACACCTGAACATCAGCAGGAGAGGACTCTTTAAAGTAGAGAACACTACATACTGATATACACCTGAACATCAGCAGGAGATAACTCTTTAAAGTAGAGACACTACATACTGATATACACCTGAACATCAGCAGGAGAGGACTCTTTAAAGTAGAGACACTACATACTGATATACACCTGAACATCAGCTGGAGAGGACTCTTTAAAGTAGAGACACTAGATACTGATATACACCTAAACATCAGCTGGAGAGGACTCTTTAAAGTAGAGACACTACATACTGATATACACCTGAACATCAGCAGGAGAGGACTCGTTAAAGTAGAGACACAACATACTGATATACACCTGAACATCAGCAGGAGAGGACTCTTTAAAGTAGAGACACTACATACTGATATACACCTGAACATCAGCTGGAGAGGACTCTTTAAAGTAGAGACACTAGATACTGATATACACCTGAACATCAGCTGGAGAGGACTCTTTAAAGTAGAGACACTACATACTGATATACACCTGAACATCAGCAGGAGAGGACTCTTTAAAGTAGAGACACAACATACTGATATACACCTGAACATCA